TCATCAACAGTTGGATCATCTGGAGTTCTCTCACGTGCAAACCCAAGTTCAATAAGCAACGTCTTCCAAGTGTCAAACCAGCTGTCAAGGAAATAGTGAGTCGTCCACATGGCTCGCCTTTGCTCTTGGACATTTGCCTTTCCAGCTTCTGGGAACTGATCAGCATGTTCTATCTTGATCTTGTTTGTCAAATCCGTCCTGCTCTGGTTGTATCCGGCGGCGTTGACACATTTATTCACTCTGCGGGATAGGGAGGCAAGTGTCGACTGCTTCGCTGATCCAGCCTGCTCCAACTTAAGGTAAGTCACAACTGCGCCACAGAGTGCCTTCCAAATTCTTTTTGGTATTTGGCTGATTGGTCCTCTTTTCAATGGCGACACACCAATCAATCCGTTCCTTACATATCTTGCTGCCGTTTTGGCATCCACGTTGGAATCAAACAACTTATTGTTCTCATCCACAATCTGTTGAATGCTTTTCTTCCTTGGATTTCCTTTCTCCATCTTCTTGTGTTTGGCTATTTGTGTGGTGATAACTTTCATGGCATTCTTGTCTCTCTTGGTAAGTTGTGCCTTTTGTGCAAGCTCTTTCTGTACTTGACTGCTGCTGCGTCTCTGCTTCTTTTTGGCCATCCCAACCTTAGCAGATACTGATGCCATTGCCTGATCCAAATCATCTCCAACTTCAGAAGCATCAACCTCCATGGGAGAGGGATTGGTCGTGAGAGTTGAGTTGCTTCCACCTGATCCAGAAGATGCTGGAGTGTTGCCAGTTAGAGTGCTCTGACTGTCAGCTGAAGAGGCCTTGACATTTGCCACTACTTGAGACGGCACATCCTTTCCAAGTTTCAGTGCTCTTCTTCTTACTTTTTGATAGAGTGTAATGTTCTTTCTTTGAGGAGTCGCAAACCCAACAATCTTCATCGCTTCGACAATCTTCAGCTTGCCTTTCGCTATTGCAACCATACCCGAGGCCTGTTCCACTAACTCCTCCCTCTTTGTTGTGTCTTCTGACATGGTTTAGAACCGATCGCGGGGGTGTTGAGCCAAACAAACACAAGAAGAAGACCACTTTCGACCACTTTACAGTGGCACTGCTGACAAAGATCGCGATTCGAGAATTCGCGATCCTGTACAAGATAACGATTTTTGGGCTATTCTACAGGTACGGCACTCAATGTTTTTGTTATCCGTTGTTCTTATACATCATTACTACCTATCCGTGGCCTTACATTGATTTGTTGCTATGTTTCTTCCACTCAGAAATGCCGTCGACAGCGCCATGGTCGATCGATTTTCTGAGGTTCCGAAATGTGTGTAAATTTTGGCTGGCTCATTACCCACCTAAAACTAATATTGCTATAAGGATGGAAGATTTCCTTGATGCAGCATGAGCTGTGCGTACTACGGGTAGTAATATAGGTGGTGGCCGAAAGGACACTATTCACTACTACTGTAGCTAGTATTCTCCATGGGCATTCTTCATTCGATCCTTCACCAGTCCCAGTGTTCCAGGTGAGTTATTAGTTATTACTCCAGTATAAATATTTTCTAATAAAGGAATGGGACAATGGGACAGGACAAAGAAGCCTCCACATTGAGATCTACTGTCTACGGAGCAGTCTACTATTAATAGTCTAGTACATGTACTCGTGTATCTAATATATGCTCTTTCCGAGTGCTTATCGATTCTGACGATGATAAGCAAGTGAGCTGACAAGTGATACCAATAGCCCTCTACTCAGTACTAGTACTCATCATATCAGTACGATGTAGACTGTATGTACTCCAGTTGGACCAAATGAATTCTAAGACAGAACCTTGCTGTTTTCCCTGCCAGATGTAAAAAGTAAATAGCTTTGTGAATGGGTCCAGAGGAATCCAGCGACTATTGAAGTCAATGGCTCTGTTGATAACTGAAGGTTAGAAACAATTATGGGAGCCATTGGCTGAGCAGGGAATGTCCCCCAATAGCTGTTATAGCTGTTGGAGGCTCTGCTGGATCTACATCTAATTGTGGTTCCTGCAAGCCAGGGACCATCTAACAGTCTTGGTGTGGAGTTCTGAGTCACAGTTGGCGTGTAACTTCAATACACCCTCGCACGACAAGGCTGTAGCGTTTTTGGTGTTGGCTTGGTTAGGATACGTTGTTGTTGTTGCTGTAGTTTTTTTTTTTTTTTTGGTGGTGTTTTGGTGGGTGGTGCTTGGAGGGTAGTCGGCTAGGTTGAGTGTACCTGGTTGCCAGTACACATGATATTGGTTTTGGTTGACTCTATCTTGTATCCAATAGAATCGCATGTCAATAGCTTTCGAGCGCTTTTGCTTGACGGTGTCATTGATAATGCCTTCGGCTACTTTGTTGTCGATTCGTATTGGTGTCGGTGGTTGAGGGTGGCCAAGGAAGTCGAGTGTGGTTCTTAGTGGGCAGCCTTCTTGACCGCATTCGAAGGCTGCACCTGTTTCTGCTTCTGCGGCTGAGGCTACCACAACTTTCATGATTGGGCAGATAACCAGGATGGGGCCATTATGTTGAGGTTGTTGTGGTGGCATGTTGTTGTTGCTGCAGTAGAAGTAGCCCGCGGCTCGGGATCTGCTCTTGGGTTCACTAAGATAGGAGGCATCACTGTCGATTCGAAGGACCATGTCGCTGCTGTGATACCTGATGGTGGCGTTAGGATGGGTTGCTGCGTAGTTGAGGAGTTTGTTGCAGGCGTCTCTGGTGGCTTCGGTGGGACTGGTTTGTTGTGTTGCGATGGTGCCTAGTGCAGTGAGCATGGTGTTGTCGACTGCGCGAGCATAAAAGAGGAGGACGCCTAGGATCTGCTGGATGCGTTGCTTTTCGTTCTTGGAGAGTGGGGCAGATTGGTCTGGAGTGTCAGTCAGTTGGGGGCCATACTGTAGTTGTTTGTGTGTGTGCGGGGAGTGCTCTGGATGCGAAGGTGGTGGATGGTCAAATCGTTTGAGTGCTTTATCGATGTACCCTGGCATGGCGATGTCGCAGGTTCGGCTGGTGTAGTTCCATTTGAGGTGGATGCCGCTGTATAAGGCTCCAGACCAATCGGTAGTGATGGTGTATTGTTGTTTGAGTACATGTTCTAGGTGCTTGGCGTTTTCTTCTCCGACGTACTTGACACCGAAATCATCTACGATAAGGACAAAGGCGACTGGTCGTGTGTCATGTTTGAAGAGTGCTGGAATTCGTTTGGATTGGTGGTATCCATGAGAGGCTAGGTAGGGAACTAGTCTGTCGTTTGCGACTCTGCCAGCTTGGGGGAGGCCATACATGCCTCCGTCGATGGCAACATAGACAAAGCCTCTGTCGTCAATGAGGTTGAGTTCGTGGAGTTGATATTGTTGGACGATTTCAGTTGGGATAACGGATGTGTGGATTTGCATGTATTCGGTGCGAGGGAGTTTGTTGGCGAGATAATAGTCCTTGATATCCATTGTCATGAATTTTGCGTTCGGAGTACTGAGGACGCTGTTGATGAGGAGTTTGGTAGTTGTGAGTTGTGCTGTTTTGGTGGTAGTGTCGAAAGGGTAGTCGATGCGGTCACCACCGACGGTGTGTCTCACACGATACGGATCGGCTTTCTGGGGTCGATATGCCACAACGATACGCATGTAGGTAGGTTTGCGTCCGTCTGGGATGTCGCGTCGGGGTATAAATTTCATGGTGTTGGTTCCTTTCACATCTTTCCAGCCATCAAGTAGGCGTCCAAACTCTTTGCAATTGCCTTGCCGCCAGAGGTGGCCATCGCTGCTTTTGGCTAGTTCTCTGTATTCGGCAAGTTGGCCTATGTCGGGGTTAAAAGCTTTGTTTGCTTGGTGTATATTGGCGTGGAGGTTTTCCAGGATCCATGTGGTTGCAGAAGATCGAGTTCTGAGGGGTGTTGCAGACGTGAGTGTTTGTTTGTGTGTGGACCGCAATGTGTTTAGGTTCAACCACCCTCGGTTCTTCTGTTTTGGTCGGTGCGAGATAGGACAGTAGGGACGGTATGTTGTTCTTGTGGAGGAGTGGTGGTGGTTGAGTAGGATGTGTTGGTGCCGAGGTTAGAATCGTGTTGAGATCGTTGAGTGCTGCGACTAGTTGTTCGTCGTGGGATGGTTCTGGTATCGAAAGGCTAGGTGGTGGAAACCATTCGAGTGTGTCGGTGTTGCGTATCTGTTGTGTTTCCCAAATGTAGACACGGTAGCACCGATAATGGTTGAGGGAGGGGGCCGATGTACCAGCCATCTTTGCCCTTTGGAGCCCAGGATTTGCGTTTGTCAGGTTTTTCATGGCTGAGTACACGTATTCCTGGTGGTGCAATGGGTGTGGCGTTGAAGTCGTAGCGGCCATAGATAGTTTCGTAGGCTGAGAGTTTGGGATTTCGTCGGCAGGGGCGAAGTAGGTTGAGCGTTAGTTCTGCTTGTGGAAGGAGTTCATCCCAAAGGGAGAGCGGAAAGTCTGGATCTGTGGTGGCGAGCATTGCGATGAAGTGGTTTTTGAAGGTTCGAATGGCTCTCTCGGCGGCGTTGCGTCGATGCATTCCAGGGGGTACCAGTTGGAAGGCTGTAGCTGTGCTGTGGAGGAATTGCTTCATGGCGGTAGAGCATTCATTGTCAGAGTGATGTAGTTGTGCGTTTGTGGCCACAACGGACAGTTGGTTGTCATAGGACGTCTTTGTATGCTGTTTTAGGAATGTCTTGTGTTTTGCGTGTTTTGCAGTGTGGACGAACGTGGACACTCTGTTGCTGTCGTAGTCGTAGAGAAGGAACATGTAGTTGTTGCCTCGGTGGGATGGGACGGGAAAGCGTCCGGTTTGGTCACTGTAAAGTTTTGCCTTCAGGACGTCCACAGGGCGGCATAGCACTGGTGCGTCGACGGTCAAAGCAGTGTGCACGCCGCCGAAAAAATTGACTCCTATCGAGCCCCCGGTGGGATCCACGGCCGAGCAAATTGCAGCGCTCAAGACTCAACTCACCGCCCAGAACGACCTGGGTGCTGTCTTTTTCAACATGGACGACCGTGGCCTGTCGGTACCCGACGGAATGGACACAGTGTTGGACTTGCGCCTGGTCATGGTCGAGGACGACTACAGCTACTTGTTACAGAATGCGTCCTACGAAGTGTATCGACCCTTCCAGTCGGCCACGGTTACCGTACGGGACAAGCCCGACCAAGTAGTGTTGGCATTGAACAGCCCCGGACGTGTTCGTCCCAAAGGCCAGTTTTCACTCTACATGCCCCTGTGCATTGGGACGTCGAACTTTCCTTTTCAATTGGACTTTTCCGATACCAACTCTTCTCAGACCTTGTTTGGGGCGGAGCGGGTGTATCTGCGATCTCATTTTGGAGACAATTCCTATGCCCGCGATTGGGCATACTATCGCATGGCGGCTCGCTTCGGGCTGCCGCACTTGCGGGCCCGCAAAGTGCGCTTCTTCATCAATGATCAAGTGCACGGCTTCTACACTCTTCTGGAAGCTCCCGACCAAGCCTACGTCTTTCAACGCAACTTTCCTCTGTACGACTTCACCAACTACGCGCTCTACAAGGTCAAAACAACGGCGCTGGGGTGTGGTCAGTACACGGACCAGGAGCTCGAAACGGCGCAAGCGAGGCTGGTGAGTTCCTCGGAAGCGACACCGCCGTATGCCTTTGAACGAGGCGAGCACAAGTCGAAGGTTGTGCCGGCTGCTGCGCAGGGACCAACGGCCCTGACGGAGTGCTTTTTCTCCTTTTTTGGATCAGTTGCTGCCAATGATGCGGACTCGGCCCTGGCGTACCTCCGCTACAACCAGAACTGTGCGGATATGCTCGTCGAGGAAGGGTTGGTGGACCGGGACTTGGGTTCCTCCAGCTGGGACTCTCCCATGAAGAAGTTTATTGATGCCGGTGCCTTTGACTACCCCCAAGCCGTCGACGTCACCTCGGCGCCCGCCCTTGCGGAACCGCTGGATCCGTACGAGTGGATGGACACAGATAGCACGTTGAAGATGATCGCCTTTTATGCGGTCGCGCTCATTATGGATTCTCCCATGGGCAATGGGAACAATTTCTATTGGTTGCAGACCGGAGAGGAAGCCAACGGAGGAAGTGGAGGATGGAAAATATTCCCCTACGACTTCAACTCGCCATCCACTATTATCTGTGGAGCCACCTGCGACACTAAGATGGTGTATTGGTCCATCGTGCAGCCGACGTGTTCTCATTTGACCAAAAACCCAGTGGTTGGGCCTTTGTTGTCAGATGCGACTCTCCAAGAAACCTATTTGAAGTATGTGGAGGAGTTTTTAGAAACTGTCTATGCCAATGCCACGTTTGTACAAGAACTCCAAGATCACATCCAAGCCCAAGATGTCGATGTAAGAAACGATAGCTGGAGCGCGGGTGGCATCTTTTATGACGCCGAGCAGTCCCCCGAGGCTTCCCAGTGGAACGATTCCATCCCCAACTTTCCTTTCCTTCCAACAATGAAGGCCAGGGCGGCAAGTGTCCGAGAGCAGCTGGACGCCATTGCCGATGGGACCTTTCCGCGAGGCGCCCACGGCGTCGGCCTGGGTGGTGACTATGAAATGTGGGAGTCTTGTCCGGATTGGCGTCTGACAGAGGCCCCTGGCAGTGAGTGTCCCCAGAGCTGCCGATACGAAGGCTGTCATACGCCAGGTTGGATTGTGGAGAGCTCCTGCGACGTTGCGTCCAAAACCTGTGTCCGTGGCAACTTTGATCCCCTGTGCAATGGCGTCCCGGATGGGGGCAGATACGAAGGGATGGAAGAAGGCCCAGGGATTGTGTGTTTCAACGTGAACGGGTTTGACACAAAGATGGAATCATGCCCACCATTTGTAGAAGAAGAGGAGGACGATGAAATAGTGGAAGAAGGCATGAGCCACGCGGGCGTTTTGAGACCTGCTTTATACACCGCCGTTTTGGTGCTTGTTATTCTTTCCCTTCTTTCATAAGTGAGAGTTAATTCGTATCTGGTACCATGAGGGCTGACTGAGCTCTGGCTGCCAGGTGCAATCTCCTCGTAGAAATTGCCTGGCGTTCCTCTTCATTGCTTAATAATAATTAAGAACATACATGTATGAGCACTACCACTAGAACTTGCAGTGCTTCCTGCCTTGTCGCGCCACCTTCGAACGGGCTGGGCAGTGAGATTCACAGACTTGAACACTGGTGCTGCGAAGTCTGGTTGACGAAGTGATCTGAGAAAGTTGGAC